CATCAGTTCAACTGTTGTCATTGACATGTATTGCATACACTACAATGGTTGACTTGATCTCTAAATCAAAACTGAACAGTAGTTCAGGATAAGTCATACCCCTGGCACAGAGCTTGCTGTCAGAAGGGCAGAACTGATTGTTTCTCTGCAGAAAGGCTTCATAATTGGAAATATTATAAAGATGATTTTTTTTCACCCTTAAAAACTGCAATTTAAAAACATTTCAAAATTGATTGTAAAAAGATTTTGAAATATTTCCTTTGGTAAAGACGCTTTTGCCAGAACTCTGCGACAAACAATTAAGATAAGACCTGTTATCTCAGGTAGAGTTTATTTCCACAGAGTCCAAGACAAATCTGTCAGCATGAGAATCCAACACCAACCCCCAAGTTCTTCCAGTTTAAATTCAGCCAAGCCTATTCCCCACACAGCTTCAGACAAGATAGTGGCATGTCACCTTTCACAGGAGAAATACCTGGGAGAACCTGCATGTGCCCAAGAGAAGCTCAGGGGCAATGACTCCTGTTAGAAATGTACATTTTACTTGCATTTAAGGGTGTCTGAGCTCTCACAGAGGAGGAGCTCAGCAGAGTGAGTTGTCAGGGCTTATTTGGACAGACAGCAATCTACCAGCACAGACAAAGATTTAGACAGCTGGCAAATCAGATGTAAAGAGGTTCTGCAGATGACCCAGGCATTTAGAAAGGACTTATCACGTGTTTAAGTAGGAATTGAACTCCACAGATTGACAGACACAATCTCAGCTGACATGGTGAAATGCTGAATTTCTGGACTAGCAAGTGTCAGTGCCTTAAACTATTTTGTTTTCCCCAGTATAGTTATTCCACCTGTGATCTGCTCCTGTGACAATTGGATTGGTCTGTGTTTATAAATCCAGTGTGACTGGCGGTATCTGAAGTATCCCAGATGTTAAGGAATTAAAGGGGATGAAAGGAGGGAAATGAAAACTCAGTTAATGGTTACATCAAAAAGCTTTGATTAATTATTTTTTTAATGCTCTTTTTGTGAGGGTTGGATTATAGTTTGGTATAGTTAGTGTTCTCTGGCTGGCTCGTGTGGGTTAGAGAGCCTGGCTGAAATCCCCTGGCTTTGCAAGCCCTCCACTGAGCAGCAGGGAAGCTGTGGTCACATTAGCCTCTGTCTGCAGATGGAGACAGCTTCCTGCAAAGCTACCTGCAAATCCTCCTTTGAATCTGTCTGGTACAGCTGAAGAGAGCCTGCTCCCTGGGTCATCTTCTTCTTTGCAGGTTTATTTATACTGAGACTGGTCAAACTGAAAAAAATCTATCCCATCTTCATGTAGGCATTTGTAAAGAAAAGCTTTAATGATAAGACCTTGCCTAATCAGAGTGGTTTCTTTTGAAAGTGTTGTGACTAGATGTCAACAATTAATGTCATATTCCAAAACCACTCATTATAAAGCCAATTATGAGAGAGCAAAAACCACACAGTTCCTTCTGGATGCAATGGAAATAAGTTGCATTGAAACACAATCAATTTTTTAGCTGCAGTGACAATCTGTAAACAGGCCCTGAAATGTGGATCCCCCTGCTGCCTTCTGTCCTACAGCCCTCACCTCACGGAGCTCTGCCAGCCCAGCAATTCCTCTCTTCAGCTCAGCTCAGAGAAGCTGATTGCTATTAATGTGATACCCTACATTTATATCTATCACTGCAAATGTCAGGTGGTGTTTTCCCACTGCCATGGGATGCTGCAGCTGTTTTCAGAACACAGTTAGGCCAAGAGCTGATTTAAATTATAGCTGTAGTGCCATCAAATGTGATTTCACTTTCACAAATCTAAAAGCAGAGCATGTGCCAAATGGTTCCTATAAAGCAGCTCCCATATACACTCCTTGTGTAGCTGAAGTGCAGCTTTATCTAGAAAAGAGAAATTTCCTCAGACACATACAATAAAACAGTTTTTAAAACCATAAATCTGCTGAACATTGGCTACTTGTACACTCAATAAAATAAATTGATGTTATGGTGTATTTTTTGGTACGGTATTAGCAGATAAACAGCTTTCTTTTCCTGTTGAAGAAAAGGAAAGAACAGCAGCAAGCAGGTACATGTTCTGCACTTCCACTGACCCATTTATTCCTCACTCCTCACTGCCTGTGTTCCCCACCTTCCTGGGGTTCCACCTCCACCAGTATTAGGCTGTGTTTTGAAGGTTTTTAGAAAAATAATCCTTTTCACTGAATGATAAATCAGGAAGTAAAGCTAATCAGAAATTCCCAAAGGAATATACCAATATGGCAGTTTTAGGTATTGCACTGAAATCACTTCTCTGTTGGTCACAGTACATCAAAAATCTTCCCTAAACACACTGATTGACAACTAGGTTCTTATAATTTATGTGGATAGTTTTTTCCAGGAGCAAATTTAGTTACAGTTTTTTACTTTTAGTTTTTACTTGGAAAAATATCCCACCACACTGTCAGTATTGGAGCCCCTTGCTTTTAGGAGGGTCAGCACTAGCTAAGAAAACATCTCAGGCTTCATTGAATATTCTAAACCTGTAAACCTTTTCCAAGCCAGAGCAAATGGAAGTAGCATGGAAGCTGAAGTACCAGGCTCCATGTGAACAAGTCAGCAGATACTGCCTTATTCATATGCTTCTCTCTGAACTTGTTTTCTTTTCTGAGGCTACTTAGTAATTCCTTCAGCTTAATGAGCTAACATTTGGCATCCGCCGAGCAGCTTTGATTTAGTGATGTGACAGTCTTAAAAATCTGCAGCAAGTGTGCTCAGAGCTGGCTGCTGGCACTTTGGCATGCCAGCAGGTACTGACTTCAGCTGCAAACATGGATTTTGTTCCTGACAGAAGCTCCGCGTTGCTTCTGTGTTAGTTGTGCTGTGTGTCAGCCCCTGTCAGTGTGGGGCTGCTTGCTGTCATCACATGAAATTAGCCTAACATATAAACTTATTGACTGCTGGGTATTAACAGCCAGGGGAGATGTTTAATTCAGAGTGAGATTCCAAGCATAAGGAGTTCACTTTGTGTTTCCAGTCCAGTAGGATTTCCTAATATTTTAATTGTTGCAACCATACTTCTTGATGTTTGTAATTCAAGCCTCCCTTGATAATGCAGTTAAAAAATATCTGAAAGCTTATCCTTGGGAGAAACAAAACTGCATTGGCTTTTAAATAATGAATTTACAGTACTGAGGACTGTTACGTAACAGACCCCAAAGAAGTATTAGTGTTTATTTCTAAAAAGGGACACTTCTCAATATTATTTATTGATTTTCTCTGATACAATTGTACAAAAGTCAGTGAAGGCAAAGTTTGTGAAACAGAACTAGAGTGGAAACAACTACAACAATTGATAGGATTGGTCCCATTATTCACTAATAGTTTATTTCTCAAAAATCTGGGGGATTTAAACACATTTCCTAGGATTAGAAAACAGATCTTGTTGGATTAGAAAAGTTGTATTTAGGCGAATAAAAAACCCCCATACAAGTCTTGGTCATATAGAACCTGATACTTACATCTTCTCCGTTTTTTTTGACTGCTTTTAGACTTTATTTGAAGAAAATTCGGAAGCCTGACTACTAAAGCACTCAGGTGATAATGGGGAAATAATATTTTGATAGCACTGTGCAGTTCACTCTGGCTGTCATCAAACAGGAGCATGGAGCTTCAGGAACGTGTACCCAAAGGTCTAAATGGTTTTGGTGATAATTACAACATTTTTTTTTTTTTTACTTTGTCACTGCAATTGTCAGCAGTAGTGCCGCATGATATTATTATCTTCATATTGAGTTCAAGTAACCCTAAAAGTAATTTATTTTCTTTCCTTATGGAGCTAAATAATATGTCATCCAGAATTTTGATGAAATGGATATTAAAATCTGTTTTAAGTCTTCTATAATTGGGGCTTATATTTTTATTTGTCTTAACTTGTGAAAACAGGTATTTAAGAGAGAAATTAGTTTTAGTATTGTTATTTGGCTTGGGATTTAGCTAAAGAAAAAAATTACTTTAAAAGAATAGAAAAATATCATAATGCTGTTGCTTAAAAATTGAATTCTCCCATTTAGTACTCCCAATATAACCATATACCACTCTCCTTCAGCCCTACAAATGGAGGCACAAAAGGCAGAGATTAAATATTAATGCCATATTTTTCCTAGAGACAAACCTTATTTTTAACAGAAGAGATCAGAAACTGATTTTTGTTTAAGCATTTACCTTGAATGAATCTATTTTTGCTAACTGGAATTGCAATAGCCTGATAGTAAGGTGTTGCTGGTATTTGCTAGCATTTTCTGTAATGGAGGTGGACAGTGTTCTCTGGATGACATTTTATTTTATACCTGGGAAGAAATGGGTTTCTCTGGCTCCCCAGACACTCTCTTATCAGTGAGTAAAATTTGGATGAAGAATGTGTTATAATTGTTCACCTTTGTGGGACCACAAATAAAATATTATATTTCTCATGCAAAGAGATGCCAGGAAATTCTTTGTGTTCCTGGAGATTTCCATAGTCTGCCCAGATAAGGACCATTGATTTGATTTGCTATCTCCTGTGTACTTGGAAAGCAATCACAATTCCTACTTTTTAATACTTTTTCTTTCACATGGAATATGGATGGGACATGGCAACAAATACAAAAATATATACAGATATAGATTCATGTGTTTATTTTAAAAATTTCAGGAAGTTTTCTCAAACTCTTGATCTTTATCTACAACCAAAACAAGGCATATATTAATGAATTTTTCAGTGGCTTATGGACTGGCTTTTCTGCTTTCCTATATCAATTAAGTGTGCTTTCTTCAGTGAAGATTTAGCTTTCAAAAGATCGGAAACAAGATTTAATTGCTGGAAATTAATTATGACCTTTAAGTTCAGTAAAAAATTACTAGGAATCATGTTACTTCATTAAGAATAATTAAAATATTTATTTGGTCTCTTGAGGAGTGAGAAAGTACTTCTCAGTCATCTTGTTGCATAGGAGTAGCCCTTTCACAACATCACTTGCATATTTTGTGCAAAAGGAGGTGTTTGTTTACTCCAGTCTTTTCAAATCCATTTCTCTGAACTTGAGATCTCTTTGCTAACTCACACAGCTCTAACAGCCCTTGACAATAATCTGTATCTCATCTCTCCAGACTGGCACCATCTCAAGAGGAAAACACTGATGTCAAGAAAGCCAGGTTGACCATTGCAGGTAATGTGGCTCTGAGTGAATTTTAGCCATTCAGACAAAACTTTTGCAAAAATAACCAAGTTCCATAATCTCCAAAGGATTTCAAAATGCAGCCAAAATTTATGAAATGCTATTCATAGACTGGAGGAGGGGACTAGAAGAGGGAGAAGAAGGGGAGAAAAGAAAGGCAAAGGGATAGGGAAAGAAATGATTTGCAGGAATTGCAGCTGCATTCCCTGCATCTCAATCCAGAGTGTGCTGAGGCAGATGCTGAATGACCCCTGGCTGGCTGTGCTGGTACCCACGGCAGTCACAGGAGATTTTCCACACTATATCCCCCAGGAGAGCCCAGGGGCTCAGCAGAGCTTCTACCACCCCTGCTCTCAGTGAAGTGCAGCTGCTTACTGTGTCCTGAGAAGAAATGGAACAAGGGGGAAAAAGTGAGCATATTGCAGATATACAAGAATGTATGCAAAGTGCAAGTGAAAGGTGCACTTCATCTTATGCCTTTTTGTACTACCTCCTGGCCCCACTGCAGGGATATAAAGTGCATTTGGCACCCAGGAAACCTCTCCCCTTTGCTCTTCTATCCCTGTGATTAGATTGCTGCTTTGATAGAAATATTTTTGATTGCTTCTGCAGAGTATTTCTCTTTTGTTTTGCTTTGATGTTACATTTATCATGTCTTTCATAACAGGTACATTGGGATGCTGAAAACCTCACCACTGCTCCTGACGTGGTACAGTGTAATTAATCTGTTTTGGTTTGGGGGTTTTGTTTCTTTTGCTGTTTTTTCACCTCTGCTCATTTTCCTTGTTCTCCCACCCCTGCCTAACAAAGCTTCACTGAAATAGAAAGCAGGCTTGTAATAACTGCCTGTTATGTTTTTGTTTAATGTACTGTGCAAAACATGACAAGGGTGAATGTTAGTAGATGTAACAGCAGTCAAAATGTTTCCTTATTCCAGCTGTTGTATCCTCTGTGTGCAATAGATAGAAAAGATGTTAAACAAACTGGGAGAGTAAGTTGTAAATCTTAAGGTCAGAAAATGCAACTCAATTTTTTTTTCTTTCCCTGAATAGGAAAAATGTGATGAAATAGCGTAGCATCTATGCCTAATATTTTATTTTTAGTCATTGCTGTCTTAACTTTCCTGAGTATGTATAATATACATAATTTTTTTCAATACATACTGCAGAGATTTCTTTGTGCCATATTGAAATTGATCATGATTGCTGACCCTTGCAGTTATGATGCTGTTTAACTACAAAACCTTTGCGTTAATTTAATTCACTTAAAATCATTTTTAGCATCCTACTAACAAAGTATATTAATAAACCAGTTCAGTCCGACACACATTTTGCAAATTGCAGTCTCTGTGAAAACATTATTTAATGTGTTTAATTGCTATACATTTACTTTAAAAGGTAATCTGTCACAACACCACATGTATTTCTTATATTTTCTGAAAGAATATGCTGTATTTCAAACCTCCATACACAAGACATGAAACAGTTGCTGTCACCCATACTCTTTCTGTTTCTGGCTTTGATTCTTATACTTGAGAGGTATCTGCATGCCAATTTTTATTGCATTCTAATCCAAATAGATTCCATCCTGGATGCCTTCATTACCCTGGGCTATCTTTGGTATTCCAAGAAAAGATGTAGCATGATGTATATTCATTCTTTCAGTTCTATAACTTTATTTGTTTATTTGTAAATCAATCTATTTCAAGCCTCAAATTGAGGCTTGCAATGTCAGATTGAATCAAGAATCAAGCAATTCTTGGTTTCTGTTTTGACAGAAATTCCAGGTTTTTCTGCAGACCTTTGCATAAGATTTACTTTGTAGAAAAGGTTTCTCTGTAAGTGAGAAACAGACAACTGCATTAGCAAAAGATGCCAAGTAGGCTGACTTAAAAGTCAGTCTTAAATGTAAATTTAATTTAAAGGCAGCAGCACTCTTGTTATATTTAAATGAGACTCAGAGAACCTGCTTCAGGAAGTATCAGAGCTCAGGGCACTACAATTATCATTATCACATCCATCTGGAGTAATGGATAGATATGCTTATTTTGTAAATGAACATATGTGTGTAATTGCATAATTGTTTTAACAATAAATGTCCTGCAGGATATCTGCATGTGGAAACTTAAGTATGATACATATTTTTCTGGATGGAATCAGAAAAAAACAAAGTCTAGAGTTGTGTGCAATCATGTGTGCTTTTCAATGCTTTGAATAAGAAACTGTGTACTTTCTCTGAAAGAAATCACAAAGCTGTTTAAAATGCCAGTTTAGAAAGTGATTTATTTTTCTGGATTATATTTCTGGATTAATTCTGTCCTACATGGCCTATTAATAGATACAGAGGAGCCAGCCACAGTCCTCATTCCCAACAACTTTTCAGCATTGATTTTGGGTTCTTCCAGATGATTGCGGTGCCTTTCTCACATCTCCATTCCCTGCCCCTCTTTGCCATAACTCCTCCCCTGAAAACCTGGCTCACTGATCCAGCAAGGCTTCTTGCTGCCTGCAGCAGGCCATTACATGGAGAAAACTTTTGGTATTCACATGCCAGAGCTCACCCTAGGTCAGGGATGGATCTGTGTGGTGGAAAAGTCTCTCCTCCAACCTGTCCTTCCAAAGAAAGGCTCAGCAGTCTCTGTTGTTGGTCTCAAGGCAGTTTATTGCAAGTTATCTAAAAGATTTTCTTCTGGGGCTGCTGTGGTTTGCTCAGAGCTCAGGCAGAGGCACACACACACCCTGACATCCTCTCTGACTCCCGACTGCTTCTTCTCTCCCCCTCTGCCCAGGGCTGCTGCTGTCTGTTATATGATACATTACATGTTCCATGGGTACAGTTTTTCCCCAATGCCTATTACCTATATTAAATGGTGCTTTTCTATCTTTTATATGGTACATTACGTGTTACATGGGTACAGTTTTTCCCCAATGCCCATTACCTATATTAAATGGTGCTTTTCTATCTTTTATATGGTACATTACGTGTTACATGGTTACAGTTTTTCCCCAATGCCTATTACCTATATTAAATGGTGCCTTTCTACTCTAAACCAATCTGGGAGTGCCAACATCACCAAGAACATGGAGGTAAGGAAGGAGAAAGAGGGAGGACAGGGCAGGCCCAAATCCCTCCATCTTAAACTTCTGACCCCCCATGTACAAAACCAAAACCCCCCTGTACAGCACTCAAAAATTCTTCCCTTTACTTTGTGACTACTTCTACTATAATATCTAAACTTTTGTGACTTCTTGTTCTTCCTTCAAAGTTGGAAAATCATTCCATGGTTCAAACCCAAAAATCACAGCTGTTTCCAGCTGCCTGCCAGGGTCTCAAATGCTTCTGACCTGGGCCTGGAACCTCCAAAAATGTCTGAGGGACATTTTGAGTTCCAACATTCACAGACCCACGATATTGGCTATTAGCGATGTCCTTACTAAAATCCATCCTCAGTAGGACGTTGCTAATAGCCAAAATCTTCCTCTGCTCCACGTGCCAATGGAAATGGACTGAAAATACCAGTTGCTAGGACTAAGCCTTGCTGTTTTCTGTGCTCTGTATGTTCAGCACACATATTGGCATGTTTCCAGTTCAATCACCAAATGAGCAATCCCATGAAAACTTTATGGAGATTTTAAATAATTTATATTTCAATGCTATAGAAAAAGAATATTTTCACAGTTACCATTTTTCATACAATTGCCTTTTGGAATCTTTAAATTCTTTCTATGGAGTCAGAAGAAATTTTATTTTTCTATCAGGACAACAAAATAACCTCCCCAAGTGGAATATTTTAGGTTATACCACAATACTTCTATTTGATGCCGAATGTTAACATTTCTTCTAAAGGTTTTTCTCCTGAGATGCATCAATGAGCTATTTCCTTTGCTTATCTCTTCAAGAATCTGAAAATGTAAGATATAAAATGTATTACCTCATAGGAAATTTTTCTGTGAATTATTTTGCACGACACCTGACTCTGAGCCTCTAGTTTTGCAGTCATAACATTCTTATTTAAAAGCTGTGGAACTGTCTCTTGCTTTCTCTTCAATTTCCACACTTCCTTTTGGACATTCATAATTAAGAGCAAATCTTGGATTTTATTTGATTTCTCCCTCATCCTTTCCAGAAGCTTTATGGGAGACACTCACTTCACAATCCTGCTGATCAGAGCTGGGTAAATGACTATTTCTATCAGGAGGGTTCATGCCTTTGGAAGGGTTTAGAAAAAGGCTTTATCTGAAAATAAAAGACAGACAGTTAGATGTTAGTCTGGGAACTTCAAAAAAGAGAAGCCTATCTGTGCCTCTCTAATTCATTATGCTGCAGATGTTGAAATGTTTTCCCTGAAGCCTTACCCAGCAGAGTTAGTATTTACAAGGCATTACATGAAATAAGATGTTATGCCGTGGGGAAAGCATGATGGAAGGGGAAAAAGAAGATAACAGTGTAATATGAATTTTAGGGGAAAAAACTTGCTGTTTTCCTCACAGGCAGAGAGGGTAGGTGGAGTGCAAATCAAACCTACCAAAAAAGATCAGACTGATCTCAAGGTTCAGGCATACATTTCTAGAAGGAGCGTGCTTCCAGGCAAAAAATATCTTGCCCGATGGCTGTTTTGTGCATATCAAAGTGATACAGAGCTGAGGCTGCTCTTTGCCCTCTCACTCCTCTCAGCACTTGTGGGGCTCCTTGACTCTCATTAGCTGCTCTTCCATCTTCCCCGTGGCACCTATCAGGGGCTCCTTTTGAACATTCCAATTAAAAATCTGAAATGCTAAATTTTTCAGTACTTGGTTGAAGAGGAAGGCTTTTATGGAAGCTGAAAAGATGGGCAAGCCTACCAATTGCTAAGTGCCTGTGTACTAAAATAAGCAGGGGAGTATTTGGGAACTGAATTTCTGGACTTCAGCAGCTAAAATCTTCTTTATTGTTGTCCTCAGGGTGCATAAACACCTCAGCTAATGATGACAAGAGCTCTTTTCTGGCTTGTGGGAACTTCATGGGGATAAATACATTTAGAAAGAGCTCCCACTGACATGGATCCCATGATAAGAGGCCAGCTAGCTGTCTGTAGGGACATGATTTGGCTGTTAAGAGCTTTGTATCTGGCTACAGCCTATTTGTTCTCCTGCTAACAGCCAGCACGAGACCTGGTAATAACCAGCTTTAAAATTATCCAGAAAACAATCTACAACTTGAACATAATTAAATAAGACTTTTAATTTGGACTGTTTCCATCATTCCTTCTCCCTACACTTTGAAGTATTTTACAAGGTGAAACCAATAGTTTAAACAGAGAGTATTTAATAAAATCTGTCTTGAGGAAAAAGAAGATGGAGGCAACTTAGGTTCAAAACTTACTTTTGAATATTGGGTTTGCTGCTGATGTTTGATTCTATGTGTTTTAAAGCAAAACAAACTCACAAAGTAGAAATAAAAAATAAAAAGAAGAAAAGAAAATGCAGCCTCTGTCTGTCCTCTTCTGACTGGAATTTCCTTTCCCTGCAGCCTTGCTGCTGGGATGCTACAGGCACAGTGTAATGGCATATCAGCCACTCTGAAATTCAGCAAACTTTTAGCAGCCTTATGTTGTTTAAAACATTGCTTTTCGTTGGGAGTCTCATGGCTCTGCTACAAAAAGGTGGTGCTTCTTTGCTGGCTGAACACAATGTATATTAGAGAGAAATCAGGGAAAGAACCACAAGAGGAAAAACCAGGAGAAAAAAATAACATGCTGGAGAAGCAATAAAAGCTGGAATCAAAGGGTTGTGCCAAGTATTGTCAGAACTAGTTGGAGCTGCTGGAGAGGAAGATGCTGTTTAATTTCCCCTCTGATTTGAGTCTGCTGGGATGCATTTCTCAATCAGAATAACAAAGGAATTCTGGTAAAATTAATTTCTCACATTTGCTACAGTTGAGGATATGCCATCTCCAAAAGGCAGTGACAGGTCCTTTCCAAAATCTTAGCCTCTGAATAGTGGCTCATGGTAATTTCAGTATCTATGGCCCCCCTTTTTAGAGCTATATGTTGTCTTGTTGATCAACAGCTTGGTCAGGAACACTGAGCTGAGTTTAGATCAAACATTTGCGGTTTGAATCAGAATTTTCTGCTATTTCAATGTGTTAGGGTTACTTTTAGGAGAAAATATAAAATATAGGCTGAAATGGACTTTGACAAGAACAAGGGCTATAGGGTAGTTATCACTGTGTGACTAAATAAGACTTGATCTTTTGACATGGTTCAGTCTCCTCTGAACCTCTAATTGTATCTGTTGTTCTGCCTTCAAACTGCAGCAATATGTTAATATCTTTTAGGAGCTGAGCCATTATGCCTAAATAAGGGATTGCAAATAAATAGGGGTGGACAATTCCAAACATACACATAAATAGGGAGGGACAGCTCTCAACATATGGCAATGAATGCAGCCATAAGGCCTAAAATATGTATTTTAACTGCCAAATTTCTGAGCAGCTTCCAACTGGCTTTCATTTGGCTTCAACTGTGTGTCTGACAGTGATTGCAAACTCGAGTTTTGTGCCATATTATTTTGTGCTCAATGGCTAGTACTTATTTGAGCAACATTAATTTGCACTATAGGCTGAGACTGTTCAGAGAAGAAATATTTTATTTTTGAACTCAGTATACTGAATGCATCTATTAATGCAAAGTAGTAGTTCATGTTGCTGTTTCTTTCCAGATTAATATAAAGGTAACCATTATCAATACCTGATACTGACTCTCAGTGCTCTCTCTCCCCACCTTTTCAAAGATTCTTTACTCTAGAAATATTATTTGACTGTCCAGTCTTTATCAAATCACTATCCAATACTAAACAAGCAAATCTTATTCATTTGGGCTTCAAAGTAAAAAAGCCATGGTGGCATCTCAACAGAAAAGAGCCACCTTGAGAGGAACTGAATCCATATGGCCTTTTTAACAATCCCTATTTCAATTCTTACGTAAAAGAGAACAAAATTGCTTCTCCAAGGCTAATCTGCAGGAAAGGAAGAGAGCAGTAAGGTGGTGAGCAAGCACCTTGGCAGCCTGTGTCTTGCAGCTGGGGTTATTCTGGACACAAAATCTTCCTGGAAAAGCAGGGGAACTAT